TCCCTGGTATTGACCCTCATCTTCTTCCTTCTTCCAGTCCTTGTCTCATAGCGATGGTCCAGTAATTGCCTACCTTTCCTCCAGGCCTCCACGGAGTTCCTCATTCTGGGTGCTCAAGGTTAGATCTGAGCTGCCTTGTGTCTGGGAAATTCAAGAACAGCAAACCGTGCCCTTTCCAGTGGGGCTTTGGGGGAGAAAGATGCTCCAGAAATAATGGCCGGTAGGAAACCAGATCACCTCTTCACTGTTAACTGGGCCCAGAGCCCCAAATCTGATGCAAACCAAGTGGTCAGGCTAGGAGATGATGAAACTTCAGACAGCTATCCTAATCATTCTGAATCTCTGTTTTCTTATTTGTAAAATGAGGATAATAGTTGTATATACCCTATGAGGTTTATGTGAGACTTACAAGAATTAATCCACGGAAAACACTTAGAACTACTTGGCATGGTAAGTGATAGTAAAAGCTGGATAAAAGAGTAGAAATGACCACATCAGATCTCGTTACTTTGGTTAAGAACTCCAATGCAACATTGAATAACAGCTATGACAATGAGCTCCCTGTGCTGTTTTTCTGATTCACTTTGTTTTGGGATCACAATAAGAACTTTGATGTTTTGTTCCAAATGAACTCTGCTGATAGAGTCAGCTTATATCTTCCTCCGAACTCTTGGCCAGATTCTGTCCTGAAAGCTCTGAATAAATAACTTCCCTTTTGAGAGCTCTAGCGTCATTTGCAATCCATGAATATCTGACTTAGAAACCAAGTTTTATGATTTGGTTTACCCAGATAGCATTTAATCTTTGGAGCTGATATTTAAGTCCCCAAACTGGTATATATTTAGAGAATCACAAATCTGCCACCAGCATAGTCATTGTATCCCCAGGGTCAGAGGATAGTGCCTGACTCGTAGTAGGTTGTTAGTAAATACATGCTTCAAAAGTGACAACGCAAGACTTGCAATATCAGTAATGCAGTCAGACTTTAATATCTGTCTCCCCAATGCAAGAGCCCTCATAGCATTCCCCACTGGCTTGTGGCCACGCCTCACAAGTCAGAACTTATTTTGTTGAAGGACCCAGATGTGGTTCAGTTATTACAGCTTGGGAGAGAAGAGTTCAAGTAGAAGGTAAGTGGTAATTGATTTCATGTACAGGTTCTAACGGGAAGACTCAGGGAGGTTTATCTTTCTAGCCCACTCCCCAGACCCTCCTCCCTACACACACACTCTATTGAGCGAAGAAAGAGCTTCTGGGGCAAGTTTTTTCCTCCTTGCGTCAGAGCAAAGCCTCAGCAGATGACAGACGGCCAGTGATGTCTCAGAAGAAAATCTTCAATGGAGGGAAGATTTACCCAAGTCAGGTGTCCCTTTCAACTTGAACAGTTGAAGATTTTTATAGAACTTGCTAGTTCAGAGACTGATTTCTCACTTGGACTCACCTGTACTTTTTTTTTTTTTTTTTTGCTCACATTTTGGCAATTTTTCTCTTCATTAACAGTTCTGTCAAGGAGTGGGCCTGGGGAAAAAGGCATTGCAATTCTCAGGAGGCAGTTTATCTGTCTTGCCACCAGAAGGATGAAATTGACTCGCAAGGCTGAAGCCAGTTTGCAGGGTCATTTCTTCTTTTCACCACCCTTCTCTTCCTGTGTCTATGCCTACTGGCTGCCCGATGCTGGTGGAGTAGCATTTTCGGTTTTTCTTTTTGTTTTCTGTGTAAATACTAGCATTCCAAAAATAATATCTTCATGATATTTGCTTGTTTAGAGATGAAAGCACTTGAAAATTGTTTAGCTTTTATTTTAACTTTGCGATAATTGTATATTGGAATTGTAGACCTTTTGTTCTCTGCTCAATAGATTGATGAGAAGGCCTGACTAATTTTGCCTTTGTTCCGGGTCATTTTGTTTAATAAACACTTGTGGGCCAAACCCCGAGGATTCTCTGATATGAAGGGCCGAATGTAGGAATGTAGCACATACAGTGTAACACAAAGCATCCAGTACCCAAAGTGTGTCCTTAAGGTAGGGTGAAATCCCTGAGAAATGTTTTGAAGAAGATAGGCTAACCCGACTAGTTGCCCTGTGTCCTTCCAGCAATGACTCCTCTGGGATGACAGCATTTCCCTGGGAGGCTGGGCTGGCACCTTTTCCTCTGCTGGAGAGCTAGACAGATGTGGGCAAGGGCAGATTCTAGAGAAGTTTTCCAGGAAGGCTGGGTGAGACTCTGTACTCAGTTGAATAGTAAGAGAGAAGGAAAAGTCAAGGATGACTGTTGGTGCCTGCCTTTGTGAGTCTGAAGTTGTGTATGCTTGAGGTGCCTACAGAGCCCTACAGGGATACCTGGAAGACAGTAGACAGTTCCTCTCTACAGTGCAGAAGAGAAGGCAAACTAGATGTATACGTTCAGCAGTCAACAGTGCACAAACGATGATTGGGACCAGGGCCGAAGAACAAAACTGCCCCAAGAACAGCACCCCAAGTGAGCCAGCATTTAACATTGGAACTGGTAAGCAGGTCTAGTAAATAAACCAAGAAAGTTGAGCCCTGATCGGGGAACCTGGTGATGGCGGCATAACAGTGTCACGGACGTCATAGTAGGAAGGGTAGCCAACCAGAAGAGATGGGGTGGGGGAGCTTGAGGTCTGAGAAGGGAGCACCCCAAGAGGTCTTAGAGGCCTGAGAAAACAAGGTGACAGAGCAAAGGCAGTAGGTGGAAACTGCTCCGTAGAGCGAGGTGGAAGGTTTTCCTTTTCCTTTTTCTCCCTTTCTCCCTCCTTCTGTCTGCCACCATCTCTTTCTCTCGGTTTCTATCTCTCTGTCTCTCTCTCTCTCTCTGTCTCTGTCTCTCTCTCTCCCTCCCTCTCCTCCTTCCCTTCCTCCCCGTTTCCCTCTCTACATCTATCTCTCTGTCTCTTGATAGGAAGACTTGAGCACATCTGTAGATTTGAAAGGAAGAAACCTTGAGAGAGAGGCCTATTAAAGCTTCAAGGACGAGAGGGCATTTCCCCCTGTTGTTGGTGTACTTCACCTTCAGACATCGCCGCTGCTGGTTTAGCTCTTCCGGCAATAGTTGTGGAAAGATTGATGAATTGGACAGTTGAGGAGTCAAAGTTGTGTCTGAGGTCTTCATAGCTGCAGTGATACTTCAACTCCCAGTTGCACGGCAAGAACTGTGGTGAAATTGCTGACAAAAACCGTGAGAAACGCGTTGCATGGCATCTGAGGTATCAATTTATGTGATATCATTTAATCCTAATAATCTTGTGGGGTAGGTGTTTTCCTCATTTTCCTGATGTGAACAGTACTAAGAGAAGTGGTGCGACCTCCCTGAGGTTCTGTCAAGGCCAGAGGTGTGGCTGGACTCGCTCTCTCTGAGTCTCCTGGCCCATCTGGAGCGTTGCCGCCTCATGGCTGCTCTGTGCTCTTCTGACACTGGAGCACTGTTGGAATCCTATAGCACGTGAATTAGGAGGATGCTCTGGTAGTCTCCTGACCAGGAACCAGAGCATGGAATTTGACAGTGATTGGGGTACTTATCTGTTGCCCAGCCGACAGCTTTGTCGCTGTCAGCCTCCACAGGAGACCTCATCAGGTGACCCTATGTTTTTTAGTTTGGGGTTTTTTTGTTTGTTTGTTTTGTGGTCAGAATGTTTACTCTTTTATTATGTTTTGCGGTTTGTTACTGTCTTTGTTAATATCTCTCTCTCCCTCCCTCTCCCCCTTCCCTCTCTCCCCCTTTCCCTCTCTACATCTACCTCTCTGTCTCTTGATAGGAAGACTTGAGCACATCTGTAGATTTGAAAGGAAGAAACCTTGAGAGAGAGGCCTATTAAAGCTTCAAGGACGAGAGGGCATTTCCCCTCCCACTCCTTTCCTCTCCCTTCCTCCCTTTCCCACCTCCTCCCTCCCTCTCATTCCCTCTCTTTTTTTGAGTTGGGGTCTCACTTTGTCACCCAGGCTGAAACGCAGTGGCACAATCATGGCTCATTGCAACCTCAACCTCCTGGACTCAGGCAATCCTCCTGCCTCAGCCTCTCAAGGAGCCGACTACAAGCATGCGCTACTATTCCTGGCTAACGTTTTTATTTTTTTTGTAGAGATGGACCCTCACTACATGGCCTAGGCTGGACTCAAACTCCTGGGCTCTAGCAATCCTCCTGTTTTGTTCTCCCAAAGTATTGGTATTCCAGACGTGAGCCACTGCACCTGGCCCCTCTCTACTCTTCATGATGCCCCTAGAGTGGTATATTATATGAGAGGGGAGACAAGACCGCATGACCCATTTTTGGCCTGATCCTGAAGGTTCCTTGTCTTATCCAGGGTGGGTAGGGAGTAGATTTCACTAGGCAGACTTTCCTAATGGTTGACACTTGTGTATGCTTGCAGGTAGATGCTACAGAGGAAGTTATTTAGCTAAAAAAGCAGATACGTTCATATGCCACTGAATTCTGGGGATACATTTTGAGAAATGCACCGTTAGGCAATTTCGTCCTTATAGAACATCATAGAGTACACACCTGGGCTGGATGGTAGAGACTGTTGCTCTGACCGCTGTCCTATGTGTGGTGTGTCATTGAGCAAAACATCATCTTGTGTACACATGACTGTAATTCAGGAAATGAATTGTAATCAGAGCTACTGGTAATGGCATTCACTTTCAAAAGTGATAAATGACTGTCTTGCTTTATTTGTTGTTATTATCTTCTTTTTGAACAAGCACTAAATTCTGGGTGGATTAAAAAAAGAAATAATGGAAGTATATTTATTTAGTAGAGACCACTCCTGCTGTGGGGTCATCATGCCCTGGTCACATGGTTGGTCGCCGCAGGGGCAGGTCTGAGCATTCCTACCCTAGCAGTTTCCCCTAGAACCTGTGACCGGTGGTGACACCTGCTCATCACGGGTTTCAGGGTGTTGGCTCCTCAGCAGGTGGGAAGATCGTGGAGGCAGACATCTGGGGCTCACCTTTCCCTAACGCTCCTCCTCCTCATCCCTGCAGCCCTTCCGCTGTGCCCACTGCCATTACTCCTGCAACATCTCTGGCTCTCTGAAGCGGCACTACAACCGGAAGCACCCCAATGAAGAGTATGCCAACGTGGGCACAGGGGAGCTGGCAGCGGAGGTGCTCATTCAGCAAGGTAGGCGGGGAGCCGGCGCGCGGCGGGCCCTGCCCGCTTCCTTCCAGGCCAAATCCCCGTTGGAAAGAACTGCTGACATCTGCAGTTCAGCTCTGCTGCGTCAACATGGTGGTGGTGGTGTTCTTTGCCATCATTATCTTTGTCATCCTTGCCCTCCTCGTGATTATTTATCAGCGTTACTTGTCCTCTGGTTAATATTAGAACAGTCTGACTGGAAATCTACAATGACAGAAGTAAAGATTTCCCCACACATTCTACAGCACCCCAACAATGTTCACTTATCGGCATTGCCCTCCGTCCTGGCATTGATTAACATTGATTAGCAGGAACGCTGTGTTTTCCTATTATATACTGTCTTCCTAATAATAATTTCTGAGGGCTTTAATAATACAACTTGGAATGGAAGTACTTTAACAGTTTTCAGTTTCTCAGTGTTTTTTTTGCAATTATAACTAATGCTATTGTGAGCATACTTACGGGTGAACTATTTTGGATTATCTAAAAATAATTAGCAAGTATTCAGATTACTTGCTCATCTTGAAAAGAAGAAAACATTCTAGAATATGTAATGAGAGTTGATGAAAACTTCTAATATTGATGAAATCCTTTTTTTTGGTTTTGTTTTGTTTTGCTTTTTTTCAATAAATAATCACACATTTCCACTTGAGAGGGCTTAGCTCATGGGCTGTGACCATACAGAGAATTGCTGTTGTATTTATATCTGTGCTTTGATAATTCCACTAAAGAATGATTGCAGTGCGCAGTATGTCAGTTGCTACTCTTTCCTAAGTCCTGTGACTTGACGCTGAAGACAGTTTTAGAAATCTGCCTCCAGTAAACAGAGATGAAGAATTGTAAACTGCTGCAGCTGGAGATGCTCAGAGTTTCTGATTTGCCGTGAAGCTCCACTAGCCGTAATAGCCATGAAATGCATCTTGATGTAAAACAAATGAATTGACTATATCCTTCAGCACTTCCAGTGACAGAGATGATGCATAGAAATAGATGCGCAGCACAGAAAACCCAGGGTAATTTTAAAACCATCCATCTAGGGTAATGGTGAGCATGTGCCTTTCGCTTTCTTAATGGTTGTTTTATGGAGCTGTGGGGCAGGATGGTGCAGAGAGGAGGGTCCTGGCTCAAATCTGCATTCTCCTTTAGCTGTGCCATCTCAGGCAATTTCCCTAACCTCTCCCTGTTAGGCCATCACCTGCAGAATGGAGTTGGTGGCAGCCATCTTCCAGGATGGCAGGAAGAATTAAATGAAAGGACTTGTGTATGCAAAACATCTTCTTTCCTTGCTTTTATATTTTAGTTTCTGAAAACATTTAAGACTTATGGAGTTCTTGCATTGTTTTTTATGAGCCCCAAGTCCAGGAATCACAGAGGGAAGAATGGATTGACGTAGAGTCCCAGTAAATAACTGGAGTTGCAGGCTAGAGATTCGTTTTCACATCTTTCACACTCTTGGGTTGGATTGGCAGGAAATAGACATTTACTGTGGCTGTTGGGACAGGCATAGGATCTGATTGATGATACTATCATTGCCCTGTGCTTCTAAGCTTTCATCATCGCCTTGCAAAAAATGTGCTGAGGTTGAACTCTTTCGTGTCCTAAGTTTTTAGTTAACTTTCTAAGACTGTAATCGGTTGGCATTCTCTGACAGGGTCTGGGCTTTATATTTGATCTTTGCAGGGGTGACTTTGGTCTTCTTCTTCTAGACACATACTCACACAGATACACACAGTTGCTTCTTGATATCCATGGGAAATTGGTTCCAAGACCACTCGCAAATTTCAAATCTGCAGATGCTCAAGTCCCTGATATAAAGTGATATAGTGTTTGCATATAGCCTACGCACATCCACTTGCATACTTTAATCATGTCTAGATTAGTTATAATACCTAATAAAATGTAAGTGCTGTATAAATAGTAGCTATTTTTAAAATATGTATTATTTTTCATTGTTATGTAATTTATTCATTTTTAATATTTTTGATCTGCAGTTGGTTGAATCCAACAATACAGAGGGCCTGTGGATACAGATTGCCAACTGTACATGCTTATATGTATGATGTATTTGCATATGTATGTGGAGATAATATGTGTGTGTGTATATATATATATGTGTGTGTGTGTGTGTGTGTGTGTGTGTGTATATATATATATATATATATATATGCGTATATATATATGTACATATGTCTGTTTGCTCCCCCATCCCCTGCAAGGGGTATATTGAAGAAGGTGACAGCTAAGTGTCTCTTGGTTCTTAAGAGACTTAGTGCCATTGTGCTCTGGCAGGAGAGCAGTCTCTGAGATCAAATAGCTGGTGGAGTGTGAACAGAGTTTAGAAATCTTAGAAGCACAAAGTTCACACTGTTTTTAAGTCTGGGAGAGGGGAGGAGAATGTGAAACTGGATTAAATTACTGTTCAGAAATGCTGAATTGTTTGGTACCAGTGGAATTCTTCATTTTCTTTTGATTAATTTCAAGTAATTCTCTCCATCCCCACTTGGTTTTATTTTCGTCTTAAACGCACGCCACCAAAACTATCCTCATGCGACTTTATAATTTCTTGTTTTGATAGAGAGGAAGATGTGTTACAATCATAGCATAAAAAGCCATGAATAAAATATAGTTTTTCCAGAACGATATTACTGTCCTCTTATGCCAAGTGCAGAGATTCCTTGTCTGTCAGCTGCATTTGAGCCATGTCACGCTGCAGCATCCACAAAGCCATCAATTGCTGGAGAGTCCTCCTGCCCACTGTGCCCCGAGGATTCTGGAAAGGAGTCAGCATACAGTGCTGCAGAGGAGGTAGGGGAAAGAGCCTAGAAGGAGCTACAGTTCCCAGATCAGACATTTCTATTCTGTGTGGTTTTCTGAAGGAAGGTACCATGGCGTTTTTCATGGAGTTGGGGTGGTTTTCATTGTACTCTCGAAGCTTGCTGGGCACGGCGACTACTCAGGCGTCCACCAGTAGTGTGCTGGTAAACATTTAACAACCAGCTCTTCTGGGGGCCGGAGGCAGGGGGAACCTAATTTATAGCATTCGCTCGTTTCTGTGGTGTACATCCTTCTGCCGTGGCCAATTTTAAGCTACTGACATGACATCACTGGATGTGGAGTTGGAGAGATGTGTGCATACTCAACTTAGGAGCTTGTATAAGCTGGCTCCCTCATACCTCTGGACCTGAGGGCACGGGGTGACTTTGCCAGGTCCCTGCCAGCTGATCCCTTACAGATGCACCAGTCCTCAGAAATCTGGTACGTTTAATTATTAACCTTGTGTTGACAACAATGTAAATATTTTACTTATATTTCATATGCATCTGATGCTTTGAAGACCGATTCCTCTTAGCCACCACTTGTTCATCAATATGGATTCGAGGCATTCTCCCACACAAATGCACATTTCATGCTGTTTAAGGAAGACATACTTATATTACTTTAGTGGTCCTGCCCCTGCCCTCCCCTTAAAATATGCCCGGTTAGGCTCGTTCAAGAGCTGGCTCAGTAAATCACAGGCTGTGCGAGACATCAGAAGCTTTGGCACTAAGCTTTATGAATTCTTCGTTCACTCCTAGAACACGTAGTAGGATGAAGATGGAGATTAACAGGCTGATCATTTTCCAGTGGCTTCAGAGTCCTCCCTCAAGTCTCTGTAAGTTATTGGAATTAACACAGGCTTGGAAGTGAGATAGATCTGGGGCTGGGATCTCTGATCACTGTGGCCCTTGGATCAGGTACCTAGCCTCTTGGAACCCCGGTTTACATCCCTCCCAAGAGGAGCGCTAATACCTACCTACACAGTAGTTTGCAAGGGTCAGATCTCATTCTCCAAGACCCCCAAACTGTGCCAACACATGGTAAGTGCTAGATGAACGACTCAAATGTACTCTTACGCTCATAGCCATATTTCTTCTCTCGGCACGTATCTCTTGAGCCCCCGCAGTGTGTCCTGCACTAGGCCAGGCACTGGGATTTGGTGCCAGACAAGGCAGCCGTATGACTTATTGCTATGCCTGTCCAGGTTGGGGACAAGAACTGGGCAGCTCCTTCCCTGGCTCCATTCTCTGACACTCCAGCAGAAAGTATGTATCCCCGTCAGCATCTGTGGAACCCAAAGGAAGGGAATTAGGGGTTGGGCCTCCTCTTTGGCCCCCAATTTTAAATCATTGAAGTAAGGGCAGGCAATTGAGATAAATGCATTGAGAGGAGGAGCATCCGGGAGAAGGCCTCGTTTTTTGCACCTGCTAGAATCTTTGTTATTCTGAGCTACTGTATTAGAGAAATGTAACTATGTAGACATGTGTACCTTGGATATACATTCACATATTAGTGTTTCATGCCAGAGTCAGGGAAAATAGCATAGTCAAACATCCAGAAACCTTTAGGTAACCCAAAAGTCACGTATTTGATTTTTGGAATTTTTGTTTTAAGTTGTTTGTATTAGCGTCCATATTCAATAAATTGTTGGCAGTTGCTTCTAGTGATGTGATGTAATGCTGTGCTACTGGTTATTTTATATGATACTTTATTTCTCACAATGGCCCTGTGAGGTTAGCGTCATCATTCCTGTTGTAAAATGAGGACACGAAGGGAGGGAAATGACCGACCCCAGACCACAGAGTGAGCAAGTGACCAATCAGACCCCGTCTCCTGGTTTTGCGTCTTGTGCCTTGACTCACACACATCTGATAGCCCCTGAAGCTTGGGGAAGTTTGCTCTTGTTAAAGTGGAGGAGGAGAAAGGGGTAGAGAAGGAAGGGGCGTGGTCCTGTTCTCTGCAATTGGATTGCATTTGCAGGTGGCCATGTAGTGATTTGTTGAAGGGTCACACATATGGGGTACTGTTTACTTTCTCTTATTTCTTTGTTCCCAAAGCTAATTGCTAATCTTACCCGAGACTGACCCTGGGACATGTCTCTCTTTCCAATCCTTCCTTTGGGTCATAGATCCCAAGATTTTGGGGAAAGGGGAAATGAGAAGACCTCACTTACACTTCATTTACCAAGTGTTCCTCATGGGGTTTGAAACACCAGCCTGACCAATAATTAAATACACTTTGTTTCCTCTGCTGCATTTTCCCTTGTGCTCTGTTTCTTGAGGAGCTTATGGGAAGGGAGGCTGAGGTTTGAGACAAGATTCAGATACTCTTGGGTCCCGTGGCCAGATAGGATCTAGCAGTGTGCCATGTCACCAGGAACCCTCCACCTAGGTGCTTACCTCTGAGTCCCTCTTAATTATACCCCTAAGCATTTCCTGGCTCTGAGCTAGGGCTCTGGCTGGGCCCTCTGGCAGACACTGAGTTCAGAGACAACAGGTAGCAAAAATGTCAACAAAATCTTATTCCATGTTTCACTTGTTCATCTTATAAAACAAAATTATCTGCTTTCCTTTGATAATTCACCTGCCTTTGTTCTGGTTATCCTTCAGTGCCTATGCTAGTGACCTCTGGCTGTTGTATCAAATCACCACAAAGTTGGTGGTAACTTAGAACAATGCAAATGTGTTATTTTAGTTGTGATGGTAAGAAGTCCAAAGTGAGTCTTACCAAGTTAAAATCAAGATGGGAACAAACTTGTATTCCTTCTGGAGTATCCAAGGGAGGCTCTGCTTTCTTGCCTTTTCCAGCTTCTAGAGGCTGCCTATATCTTTAGCTTGCGGCTCCTTCCTCCATCCAAGCCAGCAATGGCCAATGGTCTTTCTCATGTTGCAGCACTATGACCTTCTTTCTGCCTTCTCCTTACAACGGTCCTTGTGATTATGTTAGGCCTGCTTGCATGATCCAGAATAGTCCCCTCATCCCCAAATCCTTAACTGAATCACATCTTTAAAGGCCCTTTTTCCATGTAAGGTAACACAGTCACATGTTCTTGGGGTTGGGATGTGATTGGCTTTGGGGGCCCATTTTTCTGCCTCCTGCATGCAGTGCCTTTTTTAAGAATATGAGCTTTCACATTTCACCTTAGTAGAAGAGAAACTGAGACCCAAAACTTTAAGGAGATTGGAGTCATGTGAGCAAGAGCCAGATTCAGGTCTTCTGACTGCCCAACCCCGTGTTATTTTATTGAAAATGAAATTGAATTTTCAATACTATCAGGCACCACAAAGGAGCACAGATATTTTAATGCCTAAAACTCTTCCAGAGTACATTGCATTCTAAAATGAGCAAAGGATACCATGAGCAATTTTTAAAATTGCTCCTGAAATTCTATGTTTTTTGCCTGGTTAATCATTCCATGGAAGGAAATTGTGATTTCAGGACTTGTAGTTTTTATGGTATGGACTTCATATCAATGCTATGAGTACACTTACTAAGTCTTCCATTGACCTTTGCTGTGCGTTGCCTAAGAATTTAATGAATTGAACTAGAAATTAATTTCTCTCAGCTTTGATGTCAATTAACTGGCATAGTTGCACATTCAGTCTAGATTACATATTTTCATTTGTTGTTTTTTAATTAAAGTCACTGTGGCAAAGGCTGAAGTTTTAATTAATGTGGGGGCATTATCATATTAAGTTTAATTTAAATATAAGAATGTTTTCCTCTCTAAATTAATTTCCATTAAAGAGCACCCCAGAAGGAATCTGTAGTTTTATTTTCAATCCTAAGTTTAACTTTAGGTGGTTTGCTTTTGTTCATGCCTGCATGTTAAGTCTTCACAGAAGCAGCAGCATCAGTTTAGCAAGAAAAAGAAAAGAAAAAATTGAAAAGGTACAGGTCCTCAAATCTCAGAAGTTTTAAAAAGATGATCCTCCCCTGGGTAACAAGGTGAGACCTCATCTCTAAAATAAATAAAAAAATTAGGTAGGTGTGGTAGCGCGCACCTATAGTTCCAGCTACTTGGAAGACTGAGGTGGAAGGATTGCCGGAGCCCAGCAGGTCGAGGCTGCAGTGGCTGGGTACGTGCCACTACACTCCAGTCTGGGTGACAGAGACTCCAACTCAAAAAAATAAAATAAAATAAAATATCATAGGAAAAAACACCATTTCAGGTAATTAATAAGTGATAACAAAGGAGGTCAAAAATTAAGTTTAATTCTCCTCTAGGCAATAAAGAACAAGTTCACTTGGTCTTGCCTAAAAAAAAAAGAAAAATGTACAGTGTGTTTGAATTTTAGAAAGTAAACATCTATTTTGACTGCCTTTTCTGTAGCATATTCTGGAACTTAAGAATTTGGTGTCTGTCATCAGTCTTTCAGCTGCCGGTGGTAGCCGCCTGCCCCTGCCCTCTCTCTCTGTCAGGCCTGCTGCACTCTCTTACTTACTCCCAGGGTTGGGCCGTAAAGCAGAAGTGCTGGGCAATGCATGCTGGCCTCAGGTTGGCTTCTGTTTGTGCTAATGGCTGTTTGGAGAGTCACCCATCACCTCAGCTGAGAGACTAGAAACCCAGTTATAGAACAATGCTCTGTTTAGATTCCACTGACATGGACTTGATTCAGGGATTGAGTACCTCATAACTGCATCTGGGAAGTGGTTAAATTGTTTCATTCATCTCCATGAGATTTATCTGGTTCTTATATATAATTTGTCCAGACAACTTTGATATCAGGATAGAATTCCTCTACTTCCTACCACGTGTGCCAATGAGCAAGAAATAAATATGAAAGCCTGAGATAACCCTCCATGGTCAACTTAGCCCTTTTGCTGCCTAAGTTTAAGCATTTTGGTAATTTGTTTTGGCTACATGAACCAGAGGAATGGGATACTTTGGGACATCACTGGATATGTATATCAGGGATGTAGCAGGGACTGAGTAAACAGGTGACATTACTGCCCCGCCCTGGCCCTGGCTTTGGCCTCCTTCTTACCTGGGGTTTATGCTCCAAATGGCCTCCACTTGAGAGGATTTAGCAGGGAGTGTACTTAAAGATGGAGGGACAAGGAGCAAGCTCTCTGTTGAGAATAATGTTGGGAACTTTGTTGTCCAACAGTTCTGAGACTCTAGGATACAGTGGAAGGTTGGCATGGAGAAAAGAATGTTAGGTCACAGTACAGAAAACATGGAGCAGAGGACGGTACATAGCAGGGAAGGATGGGAGGCCAAGGAGATTACGACTAGGGAGGGACCTGCTAGATTGAATAGTCTCAAAGTTCCAGACAGTTTTGGTGGTGGGGACTTCGACAAGGGCGCTAACTGCCTGAGCCTAGACCAGAGTGGAGGCCCAATGGTACCAGCGGTCAACCTGGCTCAGGCCATTAGGTAGGAGGCCTGATGCCAGGACTTCAATTAGTGTCCTGAGGCTGGAGTTTGCTGCTGAAAGCACAGTCTGTTCAAAGAGACTTTTGTTCTGGCTCCAATTTAGTTGCTGCTCTGATATAATTGTAGAAAGATAGTATTTTGTGTGGCTCTCCAGTATTTTTAGTTTTTTTCACCTAGAGTTTTACATTCTTTTAATTAAAGCATCCAAACACTTCCCGGAACATGTGCAAAATTTAATCAGTTCAATAAATAATGACATTTCAGGATGTGACCAGCTTTTTAATTTGTTCTTTATTGGGTAATTCATGTGGGAATTTATGCTGGTGACTTAGCTTCTGACGTGAAGGAGACTTAGAATCCGGCCCCTGGTTTTAGTGTTTTGGGACAAAAAAGATTGAGGAAAGCAGTCATTGTCTTTCTGTTATTTTTTGTTTTCTAAATCTTTTATTATTTACAAATAAAAGAAAAATGAAACAATGATTTAAGCCATCTATTCACTTGGCCAAGGGAATTATGTTACTCATCTTAGTTCTCGCTGTCAAGCACATGTTAGACTCCCTGCAAGTGCTTATTCAAGAAATTTTTCAAAAAATACATTTAATTTATAATCTCTGCCCAGAAAAACACGGTGCTATTGTGTTCCAGTACTAAGGTAAGCTTGGATTGAATCTAAGTGCTGGAGACCAAATAATACATTTCTTAGATTTGAGGCATTTGAATAGAAGGAGAAACCATTGCGTTTTTATGTGCTATGAGCACTTTAAAACAACAACAACAACAACCTCTGTCTATGTTTTCAGGTGGTTTGAAGTGTCCTGTTTGCAGCTTCGTATATGGTACCAAATGGGAGTTCAACAGGCACTTGAAGAACAAACATGGCTTGAAGGTGGTGGAGATTGATGGAGACCCCAAGTGGGAGGTAACTTTTTAAAGTATGGTATTGATCTTGACATTTCTAAACACAAGTGACAAACCTGGCAAGCCCAAGTACTGGACACGGGCAACCATTTCCCAGAACATTGGGCTTTCTGGTTGAGCAACTCCTGAAACCTTTTCAAATTATGTCTCATGTCTGAGGGGTATAACTGGGTGAGATCTGGGCCATGCTTGTGAATTCTTATTATGGATTGAATTTAGATTCTCTTCTGAAGGTTTGTATCAACTTCATTGACATTTTTACTTCTGCTGTTCACAAATCCAGAGTTTCAGGTGTTGCATCCAAATGAAGCGTGGGAGGCAAGGGTCCCATGCCATCCTCAGTGAGAGTATGGGAAGGGGCTCCATTTCCTGACTCTAGGCCCTACTCTCCCTCGGTGGAAGGCATGTGCTCTTGTCTGCCTTCTTTGTTTTTCCCTTTAGGTGTTAGAACCAGTCACCTAACTGAAAGCATATCTGTATTATAAGAGACAGAAGCCATCACTCTTTTCAAGTACCAGGTGTTACCAAAATAGACTGCTTGCAGTTACCTAAGAAGGGTTTCTTAGACTCGGCACTATTGACATCTTGGTCTGGATACTTCTTTGTTGTGGAGGGTTCTCCTGTGCCTTACAGTAGGTTTAGCTGCGTTTCTGGCCTCTTCCCACTAGTTCCTAGTAACAACTTCAACCCTAGTCCCAGTCCCACTGGGACAACCAAAAATGTCTCCAGAAGTTGTCAATGTTCCATGTCAACTCTACCAGTTGACCTGGAAAGGACTCTACAGAGCATCCAATGGCTAGGAAAAAAGTCTTCTAAAAAACACCTGAAAAATGCGTCATGATGATGTAGGGATTATGCTGGAATACAAGGGAAAGGTAGGTTCAGTAGGAAGTAATTTGTTAACATAATCCATCATTAGAAGAGACCTAGAAAGAGAAATGAAGCGATCATCTTTATAGATGCAGAAAAGGTATTTGGCAAAATTTAATATTTACTGATTAAAATCAATCAACAAAGTAGATTTTGATGGATACATTCATAAGATGAAAAAAATATATGTGTTAGCCCAAACACCAGAATCTTACTTCACTGGGAAACACTGAGAGTTTCCACTAAAGTGGAAGAAGCAAGACAAGAATGCTCAGTATTTCTTCTGCTCTTTAATAATTTGTGGGGGCATCAGCCAGTGTGGTTAGATTAGGCAAAGCAGACAAAGGCATAGAACTGGAAGGGAAGAAGGAAAAGCATCTCTACTTGCACACGATAGGAAGGTATTTTTGGAAAATCCAAAAGAATGAATGAAAAACTAAAACAAACAATAAACAGCAGATTCAAAGGTCAACATACAACACTCAGTAGCAAATATATATACAGACACATACACATCAGTACGTGTATACATGTGTGTGTATATATAGCATAAATATAGGTAGGTACCTATGTGCATATATAAAATCAATTAAAATGGAAGGAAAAACCTCATTTATTATAGGTAACAAAAACTAGATAAGTCTAAGCATAAACCTTATAAGAGTTTATGTCCAAAATGTAAATATGGAAAACTAGAAAACACTCCTGAAAGAGACGCAAACTTAGAGTTGAACAAATGGATGGAAATAATGACCATCACAATGATGTTACTATTTCTGAAACTATTTATACAATAATTTATCAATGTTAATATGATCAAAATAAAAATGCCATTAGATTTTTTTCTGGAATTAATCCAGTTGATTTCTAAAGTTCATTTGGAAAGACAAGTTCAAATAGCTAGGAAAACCTTCAGGAAAACAGCAGAGAGAGGAGAATCCATCAGATAGTAAAACACATTGTAAAACCTCTATGACTAAGACACGTTTGTTGTGCATGAATAAATGGTCTAATGGAACGGAATAAAAATTGAGAATAGACCTGATGACATATGAAAATTTGCATATGATAAAGGTGGCACTTCAAATTGGTGGGAGAAAGAAGGGCTTTTTAAATAAGTGACAAAGGATAACTAAGTAACCAGAAAAGAGAAAATTGGGTCTGTATTTCATAACTTATATGAGACAAATTTCGAAAGGACCAGAAATTTAAATGTAAAAACAGGAATATTTTATGAATGCTAGAAGAAAACATGAATGAATTTATTTATAAACTGAGAGTGCAGAGAACTGCCCTAACTATAATTCAAAATCTAGATTTAAGAGAAGAGGTTGAAAAATTGCCTGAAAATTTATGAAAAGTCTTATGGAAAAGAACTTATACATGAGTAAAAATATATATATGATAAATATTTCCAGTCACATCACAGAAAAATAATTAGCATATTTATTCTGTAAAAGGCCTCTAAATATAGTGCTGAGAAAGACCAACAACCAAACAGAAGAATGAACAAGAGAGAAGAAAGGTTCAGAGAAAAAGAAACGTAAAAATGTTGAATATCTGAAAACATAATCAGCATCACACATAATTTTAAAACATTAATTAAAACCAGAAATAGAATTTCTTACCCATTAGATTAGAAGGAATTCAAAATTTAAAAAAAAATTATTTTATTTTAGATTCACAGAGTATAGGTGCAGGTTTATTACACAGGTGTATGACATGATGGTTTGAGTTTTTATTGATCCCGTCACCTAGATGTTGGGTGGAGTACCCAATGGGTAATTTTCCAACCCTTACCTATCTTCCTTTCTCCCCACTTTAGGAGTCCCCAGTGTCTGTTGTTCCATCTTCATGCCCCTGTGTTTGCAGTGTTTAGCTCCAACTTATAAGTAAGATCATGCAGTATTCAATTTTCTGTTTCTGTGATAATTCACTTAGAATGATGGTCTGTAGCTGCATCCATTTTGCTGCAAAGGATGCGATTTTGTTCTTTTTTATGGCTGCATAGTATTCCATGGTGTAATACAAAGTTTGATGTCATCACTGTTGCAGAGGCCATGGGGGAATCCACTTTCATACATTGCTGGTGGGGATGTAAAATGGTCCAACCCTATGAGGGGAGTAGCAACGTGTAGTAAAATTATATATGCGTTTCTTTATCTGTTTATTAAGCAATCCAAGTGTTAGGAAGCTATCCCCAAATTATACTGGCAAAAATGAGAAAAAATGTCTGCACAAGTCTATTCATTGCAGCACTCTTGATAAGAGCACGTGACTAGAAACATCTCAGTGTCCAACAACCAGAGAGATGGGAGGAATGCATTATGGCACATCTACTCAGCTGAGGAAGGAAGAAGGAATATCCTTGTGTAGTTCTGTGGCCTGGTCTCCAGGGTATACTGTTCAGTCAAAAAAGGGAGGTGAAGAAAAGTGTGTGCATTTTTGTTTATATTTTCAAAAAGTCAAAGGATAAATAAAAAAACTTTTAAAATGGGCGGATGCAGCAAATCTTTAATGAACTGTGTTGCAGAGGAATGACATCACACAAAGGGGGTGGAGAAGAAAGGAGCTGAACTAGTGACTTCAGAACATAGTGTGTTGACCAGACACTCTAATGCCAAAGACAAAGCTCTAGAGAAGAGCTTTGATCTAGTTAGTAAATGTGCTTCTCACAGTAGTATGAGTTAATAATCCTGAAACCACTTCAAGTGTGTATTATGATTGAACAAATAAGTAAATATGATATAGGAAATGGGAGCCAGGTTTTTATCATTGGGGAAGGAAGTTACAAATAAGGACAGGGGAACAGCTAGGAGGAGCCCTGTAGCATCGAATTGGAGCCAGAGGTCAGAGATATCACAATTAATTCTTGTTCTTTGTATATCATGATGTGCGTGTGCATATGTACATGTGTATATGGTTTCATTGTGATACATCTGACTAGATCTATACAGGGAGAGAGAGAGAGAGATAGCTATAAATCTATACATGCTATAGGTGGTTAGCATACTTACATTAATTTCCTAGCTTTTTGTGCTGAGAGGACCTAGAAGCAGTAACACCCCAGTCGCATGAGCATACCTAGTGCCCACATTGTGGTTCATAATAGCATTCTCTAATATAAGGAACCTGAAAAGTGATTGATTCCAGGGCTGAGGAAGAAAATATACAAGATGATCCTGGAACATCTTGTGTGCTCAAAAGTAATGACAATGCTCAGTCGGTCAATCAGTAAAATAAAGATGGGAACATGTATGTCAAAAGAACACAGCAGACAACCTGATAGCGTTCTCAATGGACAAAGCTGAAAGAATTTGAGTATCAAAATAAATAATGATAGTATTGGATTATAACTCAATGTATAAAATAAATACCCACGCGTTCATACTGATATAAACAAATGATTGAATAAATAAATGAGGGACAAGGGACTACTCTTCCCTCTAAAAGAATTCCAATTAATTAATGTAGAAGGAGTAAGGGAAGTAGAAAATCACCATTAGAACATCATAGGACTCATCTCAGCAGGTGAGATCCATTGATGAGAGCTAAAATTAGCAGGCCAAAGTTTAAGGAGAAACAGGATATTTGCATAAAGTCTAAATAGTTCCTTCCAAATATTTGTTAATTACAAAGGGAAATGTAGGAACTTTACAGTAGAGGCACTATCTTAACCAAGAGATAGAAGTTGGCGTCATCAGTAATAAAACACACTGATGTCACGTGTTACCTGATACGCTATGAGGAGCTGAGAAGTGTATTCTTCACAAAAACCCTCAATCTCAGTCTAATCTGAGAAACCACCAGATAAATCCAAATGGTTTGTGTGGTCCAATACCTGACCTGTTCTTCTCAAGAGTGTCAAGGTCACGAAAGACAAAGATTGAAGAGTTGTCACAGCCTGGAGGAGACAACAGAGACGTAATGACTAAATGCAGGATTGGATCCTAGAACAGAAAAATAACACTGATGTCACAACTGGAGGGACCTGGATAAAGCCCGTCGATTAAGTAATAGTATTGCACCAATGTTAATTCCTTGGTTTTGATAATTTTGCCATGCTTATATAACCTGTTAACATTAGGGGAGATTGAGTGAAGGTCTACGGGAACTCTTTGTAGGGAGTTTGTACTATCTTTGCAACTATAGTATAAGTCTAAAATTATTTTAAACTAGTTATAGTGTTTTTTTAAATGGGGGCATGATATGTAGGGAAGGGAGGCAGAGAACAAGATGCAAGCGACAGGAAAGAAGCTGACTTTCTGTCAACATTTTCTGCTATGGCTGTGTAGATATGATCCTGATGTCATGAAAACTTTTTTGATAATCAAAACAAAATTAAACTTAAAAAACCAAGTCTTAGACGTTGAGAGTAAAATGAAAGAAATGATTCTAACTTTATATCAAGTCAGTGGCATAACTACACAGAAAAGAACAGTTTCAAGAGACTTCAAAACAGTTATGTGCTTGTTCCTCCCTAATGGAATATAAGCAAAGGGCAAAGGAACTGCAGAACTTGCAGTTTTCAGTTATTTTGTTGTTGGCAGTAGAGTTGATATTGTCATTCTGAAGCTGTTGTTAGTATTTAATAATCACAGTGAAACACATAAGATATGTTTAATCCCATGAGTTTGTAATGATATTTGGAGAAAACTAACCTCTGTAGGATGCTAGAAAATCAACTCTTTATATTTTAAAAACTAATAAGTTAAGGTCACGCAATTATTCTAATTTTTTATAAAAATATTTTCTTAAAAGTAAAAACTTAGAGTCTGAGAGGTTTCACTTTGAATCCTGTCTCTGTTGCCTAAAAACACCCTATGGAAACATAACCAAACATTTGATGAGGGGAAGTTTTTTCTTTAGAAATATTTTGGCTAACACGTGAAAAATTAGAATATTACCATTTTGTGACCTTCTAATGATGTTGCAGATCTAGCAGTAACCATCAGTTACCACTAACATTGCAAAAAAGAAACAGCCCGGCAATGTGTGCTCCTGAAGGAAGTGCACAATATAACTCATGAAACATTCTTGCCAAAAAAGGGAACTTGAATCTGATTAAGCGTTTGTATTGCTATCCCACAACCAATTTGCAGAAAATACAGTGGATAGAGGAACATGTTAATCAATTCCATGGTGATGCAATCAGCAAAATTCAGATTGTTGCAAACTCCATAAGGCAAATAGCCTGCTTTTTTTCAAAAAATAATCTGCAAGGTGAGGGGAGGGAGACAGAATGGAGGAAGAGCGTATAGTGTTTAAATGTTTTATGAGACATATCAATCAGTTCTAATGTGTGAACCTCGTTTAGATTTGATTTGAACAAACTTTAGAAAGAAGATAACTGGGAATATTTGAACCTTGCCTTGATAGTTGATGATATTAAGGATTTATTGTTAAGTTTTTGAGTATGACAGCGTCATTATAGTTGTGTTCTGGAAGAGTTTTATTTTCTAGAGATACATTCTGAAATCTTTATAGAGGAAATGATAATTTCTGGATTTACTTGAAAATAATCCAAGGGCAGGACATGGAGTGAGTGGATATATGGGTGAGAAAGGCTGGCTGTGAGTTGATAATTGTTGAAATTGGGTGATGGGTACATGGAAGTTTGTTATACTAGTCTCTCTACTTTTGTGTATTTGAAATTTTTTCATTAAAAATGTTTTTATTTTATTTAATTTATTTATTTATTATTATTATTATTATTATTTTTGAGTTGGAGTCTCACTCTATCACCCAGACTGGAGTGCAGTGGCCGCTTCAAGCGACCAACTCAGCCTCGACCTGCTGCGCTCCGGCGATCCTTCCGCCTCAGCCTTCCAAGTAGCTGGAACTACAGGCGCATGCTACCACGCCCGGCTAATTTTTGATTTATTGTAAGCCAGGCTCGGTGCTTCAGCCTGTAATCCCGCGCCTTTGAGAGGCTGAGGTGAGTGGATTGCCTGAGCCCACGGGTTCAAGACCCGCCTGGGCAACTTGGCAAGACCTCATCTCTACAATAAATCAAAAAATGTTTTTAAAAAGTAGGAGCACCAGGCTCGGTGGCTCAGCCTGTAATCCCATGCCTTTAGGAGGCTGAGGTGAGTGAACTGCCTGAGCCCGCGGCTTCGAGACCCACCCAGGCAACCTGGCGAGATCTCATCTCTACAGTAAATCAAAAAAATCAGCCGGGCATGGTAGCACGCACCTGTAATTCCGGCTACTCAGAAGGCTGAGGAGGAAGGATCGCCGGAGCCCAGCAGGTCAAGGCTGCGGTGGCTGGGAGCGGCCACTGCACTCTAGTCTGGGCGACAGAGTGAGACTCTAACTCAAAAAAAAAAAAAAAAAAAGTAGGAGCTTACTGACAGGCTTCACTTTGAATCCTGTCTCTGTTACCTATAAATTGCTTGGCCTTGAGCCATTGTTTAACCTCTGTGGCCTCAGTGTTCTCATCCATATAGTAGGCCAATAATACCTGAAAGGGCAATAGAATTGAGAGCAATGATGTGCAAAGTGCTAAGGTCTCCATCTAGTCCCCAGGAAGCACTCAGAAAATGGCAGCTGCTGTGATTATTGTTGATGTTGACAGTGGTGTCATCAGCTTCACATCTTCATCTATGCTAAAGCCATTAATGGTCTGGGGTTCAAGTTCATACTTCAAGAATTCTCTCTTTGTTTACAAAATAGACATTGTGATGTATCAGTTCCTGATATAAAACTCACAGCTGTCTTGATCAGTTAACGCTTTTATAAAAGCATGCAGCAATGCCTCTCTCCTCTAAAGACCTCACTTCCAGCAGATTCCATTTAGCATCTTACGCAGAGCTATAAACTCAACAAAAATAGTTGACACAAAGCCAGGCACTTGACTCCATATGTGACACCGTGGTGCAGCCAGCAAACTGGGCCCATCGTGGTCACCGGGCAAGTAGCAAGCTGCCTTTCCCAGCAGCCTGTGTGTCCTGGCTCCCTGGAGTGCCTCGCAAAGAGCACCGTCCTTCCTGACAGTGATCAATCAGTGTCCCTGGAATGAGGAGGAGCCATTTAGTGCGCCTCTTGTTTTTTCTCAGGCTAAAGCATTGCTTGAATCCAGTGTTGACTAATACATCGCTTAATGGTACTCAAAAGAAAATTTTTTTGATCATTTATACATTCATGATATTTATGGGATGTCTACTATATGTCACTCGGACACACCTAAACAAACTTGGCCAGTTCGCTAGAAAAGAATAATTATACGCTATTCGGAAACTTTGTGTCAGTTACTGATTAAGTGCTTCGAGAACATAACTCGACTCCTATCAATTTTGTCTGATGCCCTTCTTTTTGTTCTTCTTGATTTGTTCTCCATGCATCCTGCCATATAGTTTTGCTTGAATTCCCCATCCCCTCGAGAGAGAGAGTTGTTCATATCCAGTTCTGTGAAAATTCTGCTGCACCTCTTCTTTCCTTGAGGTACAAGGCACCTACCTGTACATGTTATTTTAACTCTTTCTACCCTCACAAGTCCTGATTTAGTTCAGATATATTTATTGCAGTTGGTTTTGTTTCTTGTATCTTGTGTAAAAAATAAGAATGACATGAATAGCTAAGATTGTTGACCTCTTACTCTGTTCTAGGACTTTTCATGTGCTGGGTAATCACCCTGCTTTACTCCTTTCACCATCAGCTGCCCTGTTACTGAGTCCATTCCTCCGTCAGCCACATGCACCAGAGTAAGAGCAGATTAGAGGCAGTGTTGGTAGCAGTGGGAGGAGCCGGGGGCCATTAGAAGAGCATATACGCGGAGGGACCCCAAAAAACCCAGAATTATCTTTCGGAGGGTGGGCCCCTTGTGGTGCAGGCTTCCCCACCTAGGTAAATGTTCTAGGAACCTATCAGCATCAGTGTACCAACTAGTGTTGCCAAGAAAGGCTGTATTTGGCTTCCATTAATTTTTTTCTTTTTTGAGATTCTTTCAAAGTGTTTTGCCCATTTCACGATGGGTGATTTATGAGTGTACCTGCCCACACTGTGCTGAACGTTCAGCAGTTGGGGACCAAAAACGGTGCGACTCTTGGGCCCCACCCTTCCTATTCACCTAATCTTGCCCTTTTTTTTGTTTCCTCGGGTGAACAAAGTCCTCAAAGGGAAACATTTTGCTAATGTGGAAGAGGAGGGGAAAAAAAAATGGCAGAAGCACTCACAGGCATCAAAATTGAAGAGTTCAGAAACTGTTTTGAACAGTGGAAGAAGCATCTCGATAGGTGTATTGTGACAAATGAAGAGTACTCTGAAGGTGGCTGGAAATATACAATGTTTTATAAGTAAATTTTGTTTTAGGGAAGATTCCCCCCTGTACAAGAATACCTGAGATCACCAATTCTCTAATTATGAAAAAGCATACTCTTTTCCCTATCGCAAAAGTGTGGGAGCTTTTCCTAGAAGCTGGTTTTAAGATGTGTTGGTCTCTGCAAAGAGAAGTTTCCTCTTTGGGACGTGCTGGTTTCTCAGGAATGATAGGAGGTGCTACAAAGCATTGCTTTCTTGTATGTATTTGTTTTGTCTTCATACATTATCCTGGAACTTCTGGGCTATAGTCGATCTTTTAGAAGGTCACTTAGATATTGTGTTTATTTTTAGACAGCAACAGAAGCTCCTGAGGAACCCTCCACCCAGTATCTCCATATCACAGAGGCCGAAGAAGACGTTCAAGGGACACAGGCAGCTGTGGCCGCGCTCCAGGACCTGAGATACACCTCCGAGAGCGGTGAGGGGGCATGCCCGGGCTTCTCTTGACACCTCAGAACTGGTATTTGCTAGACATGCAGAATGAATGCATTTTCAAATGTATGATGCCCATCAGTTAATCTGCTTCAGAATCCCTGACCCAGCCTGCAGACTGCAGGAACAATTTTATTGTCAGGCCCTGGAGCTCTCTGCCTCTAGAAATGTTCTGGAATAGAGCCACAGCAGAGATGGGGCTTTATAACAAGGTTGCAAGATTTCCCCACATCTTATCACACTTAATTCTCTGAACAACCTTGTGAGAGAAGCAGGTCTTACTATTCTGCCTTTACAGATGCAGAGGGTCGCTTTCACTGTAAGTGATGGCTGAGGGTCACTGACTTTGGGGTGTTGGAGCTAGTCCCAGAATCCAGGTCAGGGCATCATTCCATTCCACACCTTCTCATGGTCATCTCCTCTACGGGCTTATTTCAAGGTCTCTATCAGCCAGGCAGGCAGAGGCAGCGGGTGGCATGAACTTAGGACAGCGAAGAGTGACCGAGACTCTGGCCTGCTGGGGCATCACCTCAAAGTGAAGCCCATTCACTCCTCCAGTTCTTCCCAAAAGACCCAGTCAGGATTTTTACATCATATGTCAATTTTCAAATGTTAGATCAATTTAATAAAAGCAAACCACTGTGTCAGCCTAGTGACAATTGAGGCATTATGCTTAGAAAACAAGTTTTTCTGTTGTTAAAATGACAAGTCTAATTCACATTTACAGCAAACCACTGTTAACAGTTCTCTGTGACTTTTTTCTGACATCATTTATGCATATATGCACGTTTTTAAAAATGTGGTTATACCATATGGACACACCACACTTACCAAGCTTTTGTTTAACTTCATCATACCACCACATAACAGCCTACCTAATTTTTTTAACAGCTGCATAGTATTCCACAATTCCCCTTGGATGCTAATCATTTTTTAAAATCTGCCTTTTCTTTTTTAATTCAATAGCTTTAGGGGGTACACATAGCTTTTGGTTACATGATTGCATTGCGTAGCGGTGAAGAAGTCTGGGCTTTAAGTGTCCCCACCATCCTCACCTGTGCACATTGTACCTGACAGGTGATTTTCAGTCTCTCCACCCCTTCCTCTAGAAAAGAAATTTTTTTGATACTCTTTTCAAAGCATGAACAGAAAACAGGCTAATGTTTTATACCACAGCCCTGTATGTATTTGGGGGGCAGAGGCCAAGCAGGTGGGGTTAAACGGAAGCATTAGGTGAAGTGGTGACAGGAAACAGGAGTTAGGAAAAGAGCATTTTTGCCCAATTCTTAAATCCCCGAACCCTAGATTGTGAGAAAACTGCACAGAAAACTCCTGTGGGCCCGTCAGTTTAGGGAAGATTAATGGGCAGGGCTGGTTCACTGCCTGCTGAGCTGGAGGGATTTTGGGAGGCTATGCCTCCACTTCGATGGGGGGGGGGAAGGGGGAGAGTCGAGACCCAGACTGTTAACTGTGGTTCTCAGCACTAAGGCCCTGTCAGAAATTGAGTTTCGTTTCCTTCCTTAATGTTCAGGGATGTTAGTGATTGCTCAGGACCTGCAAGATGCAGCCTGTTTGTCTTCACCCTTTATGAATTCCCTCTCTCTCTCTCTCTCTCTGTGTGTGTGTGTGTGTGTGTGTGTGTGTGTGTGTGTGTCTATCTCTGTCTCTCACTCACTCTTTCCAAAGGCCCTCCAATGTCTCTTCCTGACTCCTAGAATATAATTCAAACTTTGCAGCTCAACAAACCAGCCCCGCCTGCTCTGGCTTCTGTCTGCCAGCACTGCCATCTCTGTCTCTTTCCCCTACCCCTGCGCTGTGCTGCCCTCAGCCATGTCTGCAGTTTGCACCATGGACATACACTTCTGGGAGGCTTCCTGGGAGGTGGCCTGCTCCCTTCTCCCTCATAGTATTTTTTTCTGCCCAACTCATCTTCATCTGTAGTATTCAGACTGTGTGGCACCACTGAGAACCCACCTGACTCCTCTGAACTGTTCCCCTAATTGCCCTCCTGGTGTGGGACCTGCCAGGTGCTGTAATGGTTTGCCTGTGAGCCCCAGAAGGAGAAAGGGGAAGAGCGTGTTAGGTCTTTGTAGTCCCACCAGGACTGGGATTCCTGGCCGATAGGGTTTGGTAAATGGTTATCAAGAGAGTAAATGCATTAGGAATTAGAACCTTACCTCAGTGCGTTGTGTAGGTAAATGCTTTCATCCTTGGGTGTTCGGAGTGATTGGCTACAAGGCATATTTACAGCACCTCCCCCGACGGGCATGTGTGGGGAGGGTATGGGGAGGAGGAGTTCGTTGTGCCTGTATGCAGGTCATTTCCTCAGTCACAGGCAGTGTCCTACCCTCTGCATGGAATACATCGAGTTCTTCTCTGATCTATTGATTGACCCACATTGGAACACGGCCCGCAAAAAACTACCCAAGAGGATGCAGTCGCTGGCAATGACTTCATAAAATTATGCTAATGGAGAGATCAAGCAGTAATTTCCCTTTTAGTAAATTAATGATCAGGGTCAGGGTGTGTTCAGGAGGGTTACAGATGGTCAAGCAGATGGTGAGAACAGGCAGGGGATACTCAATGCTGCCCTGATGATACGGATTCCAGTCTTTTGAGATGATTAAAAATAGAACCCCAAGCTTAAGTTGGTTTGGGATTCTAAAACCCACTGTTTGGACAATTGAGACACCCTTAGATGTTTTGCCTTTAATCTGTGGGATTTGCTTGGCATGTGTTCCTTGACCTTCCTCCCTCATGCCCAAGGGAAATTGACTCTGCAGTTGAACAAGCTGGCTCTCCTTGGGAATTGTGCTTTCAGGGCAGTCTTTTGTCCCCATGTTTGGATTCAGAGCCCCTGGGCTTGAGTTCTGGCTGTGTGATATGATTGATCCAGTGGCCCAAATGACAAATTTACAAAATGGGGAGTAATATCACAATGTCCTCTCTTCACAGGGTTGCTGAAGGTTTTGAGATATTCTTATAGAAAATGCTTTGTAAGCTATAAGGTGCCATACAAATTAGTGTTGTTATCAAAATGAGTGAGTATGGAGAACCTGTGCATCCTCTGGAGCAGTGTCACCTGAGAGACCAGAGGGGCCATTTTTGCATTTGGTGTCCTTTAGTGCAGTGACCTAAATGGCGTCCTGTTTGCTTCTTCCTTGTAAGGTGACCGACTAGACCCCACAGCTGTAAACATCCTGCAGCAGATCATTGAGCTGGGCACTGAGACCCATGATGCCACTGCCCTTGCCTCGGTGGTTGCCATGGCACCGGGGACAGTGACTGTGGTCAAACAGGTAAGGACCCTCCTCTCATAAGTTTTCAGCCTCTCGTGTCCCTCACCCCCTTTCCTCTCCCCTCACCCTGTGTTTTCACGTCTTTAACTTACCGAGGAGAGATCTGGAATGAAATCAGCCAGTCTCATGCATTTTCTTATTCTACCTCTGATCATCATGGGATTGCCTCTTCAAAAGTTCTGTACATGGGGATGTGTTTGGGGGGCAGGGAGGCATAGTGTATTTAAAAAAAATAATAATAAATTCTGGAAAATCTGTATTGTTTCTTTCAAAGAATCCCAGAGTGAAAATGAGCATGATGTGGACCATTTGAATGTGTTTATGATGAAAACAGCCCTCAGTGTCTAAACCTTCACCAGTAGGTAGAACTAGGGAGACCCGTGAGGGTTGAGAAGCCAAGAGGATCTCCCAGTGGACTGTTCTTCTTAAACAGCAAACATCACCAGATAAGAGCAGCACAGGATACTGCTATGATAGGAAGGAGAATCCGTTTTGGAAAAAAGGTTACTCTGCTTAATTATTAGTTATTCTGCTTGTCTCATTTCCTCCTCTATCCTCAGTAGAGACTTCACCATCTGTTAAAGTGCAGTGTGCTGATAATTAGATCATCCTTTTTATCTCTTTATACCTATCTCTCTATCTGCTGTCTCCTGCCTCATTTTACAAAAGATTTAAGCTGGTTCACACAAATACTTTAAAAACAGAAAGCAAAAGCAGTAAATGCATCAGAACCAGGGGACAGATATAATTTAGAACCACAGTTCAAGTTCATGGAGAAATTTGAAATGTAGACCATAGAGTTCTGTTGATTCGTTCAGTATTTATTGAGTGCCTGCTGTTGTCAGGCAGAGTTCTGGTTGCTGGGGTTCTAGGGGAGAAACAACGTCTGCCATCATGGTGGTTACTTTCTAGTAGGTAAAAGGATAAAGTGCTAATAAATCAGGACAGCAGAAAGGATGTCAAATGGTGAACAAGAGCCATGGAAAAAAGCTTAACAAGAAAAGGGGGGAAGAAGGGGCTGAGGAGTAGGGGTTGGGGACTATTTTATAAAGGATTATTGGAGGAGAGACCTGAAAGAGGTATATATTAGAGTTACCTGAATTTGACTGAATTTGTTACTGAATTTTATAACAGAAAACAAGAAGGAAACATTAAACAATTAACTTAGGAAGCGGGTTAAGCTTTTCTTTTCTTGGCACTAATAAAGATTTTTCTTTTCTTTATTTTTTTTTTGAGTTGAAGTCTCACTCTGTCACTCAGACTGGAGTGCAGTGGCACGCTCCTGGCCACTGCAGCCTCAACCCGCTGGGCTCCGGCCATCCTTCCACTCAGCCTTCCAAGTAGCTGGAGCTACAGGCACGCACTACCACGCCCAACTAATTTTTTGATTTATTGTAGAGATGAGGTCTCGCCAAGTTGCCCAGGCGGGTCTCGAACCCACAGGCTCAGGCAATACACTCACCTCGGCCTCCGAAAGCACGGGATTACAGGCTGAGCCACCGAGCCCGGCCAAGATTTTTCTTAATGAGGCTGTCACATAGGGACACTCAAGTAATGTGCCCCTGGTGATCTGAGTCAGGAGAGGATATCCCAGTGCTATCTCTATGCCTGTCTCTAAGTATGCCCAGGGTATAATGCAAAGCATGAAATCAAGGCCAAGTAGTTCTCTGGGGGAATTAGTACATTCTGGTTCAACCCTGGATTTCTTGATCCATAGGCAACATGTAGCATTTCTTGATGAATGTTTGGATTGTGTGTCCTAAAAACCCTCCTCTATAGTGTGGTTTCTCTGAAGATGGTCTTGGATAGAGTTGGACAGTAGGCAGTTGGTTGTTTCAGTCTGCAGCAGCCTGGTATTCTGCATTGGCTGAGAAAGACTCATATACCTTTTCAGCTTTTCTTGGTATTTTACAAGGTTGCAGTATTCAGATTGTGTTATAGATCTTTCCTGAAGCTCCTCCCTTGCATCTTGACATGTGGAGTCCTGTGCTGGACCTGGTACTTTAGGAAGGATGGAATCGGGACAGTATCAGGAGGACTTTGGATGTTTCTTACATTTGAAATCTTTTTGAGAGTGCAGGAAGTTGCTTCTGATTGGGGTTTGTGTCTTCTTTCTAAGAACTGGATTGATTTGCTGCTACTCGGGAGCATGATTTATTGAGCATTGCAGGCAGTGCAGTGATGTATCAGGTCACAGGGTTCAGGATGCAGCTTAGATATGCTTCAAGGCATTAGAGTGGCAGCATGACAAGGGATAAGGCAAGATAAGCATCTGGTACAACCAATGTAAACAAGTTAAATGTGTTCCTAGGAGGAGAAAACAATGACACCTTTTAGGGGATCTTCCTTCTTATTGCAAACACAGGACTAAGAGTGGCGCTGTTGAACACAGTTGTGAGGAACTGCGTTTGGAAATGTCCCCCAAGAAGATGTATGCCCTACTCATTATCTTGTATCCTGGCTCCACACCTCTCACATGGCAACTGTTGATAGATGATAAATGGACAGACTGACATTAAATGCCCACTCTTACAGCAAAGGGATCACAGCGTTTCAGTCTCTCCCAGGTGAAAGGATGCTGAATTTAATTGTCCTATGTTTTAAATGGAAATATAGCTGTTTTTATTAGAGGAATTGGTTTCCATTTTTTTTCTTCTTTAAACTCTGGTTTAGAATTTTTCAGTCAGAAAATTATATCTGCTTAGTGTGTATGCTGAAGACACAGATTTGTGAACCTTGGTGCATCTGTTGGAAAGCAGGGAGGTTCTCACTTCTCCACTGTGTGGGGAGCAACTGGATGTCTAGAACTTCCTCTTGCTCTAACCTAAGACATTGCACAGAGTAGTTGCTCAGTAAATCTTTATGAAGTAGAATTGGCTATGCTGGGGGTTTTGGTTCTCCAATTATATCCTGTAAATCAGTGCTGAAGAGAAACGCGCAAGAACGCCTTATCATCATAATGTACATGATGTATATTGCAGAACAAATGTTTAACATTACTATTGGATAGAAAATTTTGAGATCTTTTTTAGAGTTTTCTCTTTTATGTATATCTTCCACAGAGACAAAAACAAATACTATGTTGTACATGAATTGCTTGTAGATGGTTAAAAGCGTCACGATGTCTTTCCCATAGAGTCAGAGAGTTATGTATTGTTTATAATTTTATTTTTTTATAATTTCTTAATGTTAATTGAAAATAATCTTATATATCAATGATTATTCATCAGCAAATTGAAAATTATTAACCCCAAGTCTTTTGGGGACTTGGTTTCAGGGATGAAAGTAATGACTGGCCTGGCGGGTGGCCTAACAGTGTTGGAAAGCAGAGAACTGGAAAAAACTGTTTTCTTCTTGCTCTTCAAAGAGAAGTGGAAAAGATTTGGCCCATGATTTAGACCATTTAAATTCTCTGTTGGATGCAGAAATGTGTCCTCAGTAACTCCTCATCACTTCTCTCTTTTCTCAAGTGTCAGCATTAAAAATAGATTCATGGGAATCGAGCGTCTCAAAATTCTCGGGAAGAAGAATCCTTGTGTGCCCCTCTCCAGTCTGGCAGGGGAACCTAGATGAGAATTGAATACAACTGAGTGTGTATTCTCTAAGACCAAACAATTTTTGTTTAAAAAAATTGGTTTCTTTTGTTATTGTTAAATCTCACTAAAGAAATTTGTTTGATTAATAAAACTGCCTAAGTAGGTAGATTAAGACCCATCAGCACAGGAAATACTACCAAGAGCATCTCTGAGTCAAAATTATTTATTGAAAGGAAAAGAAAAACCTAAGTAAACAATAACAGCATCAGTCATCACCATTGCTCATGGCTTAAATCACTCATGGATGTTCTTATGAGTTAAACTTTACTTTAGGGACTAAAAGTAACACTTTATTTATGATTCGCAGCCACTCATTCAGCAGGCATTCACTAAGTGGCCGTGACACGTTCAGTCCCTAGATGGATTTGTTTCCTATTGCCACTTCACAATTTACCGCAAAATTAGTGGCTTAATGCAACACAAATGTGTTATCTCACAGTTCTGGAGGTGAGAAATCTGAAATGGGCTTTCCTGTGCTAAAATCAAGGTGTTGGGAGAGCCACACTCCTGGAAAGGTTTCCTTTCTTGTGTTTTCCAGCATCCAGAGGTCACCTGCACTCCCTGACCCAAGGTTCCCTTCCTCCGTCTTCAGAGAGGCAGGTTCAGTGCTTTTCACATCTCATCACTCTGGTCTCTGCTCCCAGGGTCAAATCGCCTTTTCTGACTCCATGAGGATTTTGGCCATACCCTGATAATTCAGGATTAGTCACCTGGGATAATCTCCTCATCACCAGATCCTTAATGAAATCACATCTGCAAAGTCTCTTTTGCTGGGTACAGTAACATACACACAGGCCCCAGATATTAGGACATGGGCATATTTGGGGGTAGAGGGCTACATTATTCTGCCTATCTCACTGGGTTACAAAGTTAAGATAGTTCCTGCTTTCAAGAGACAGATAGTCTAGCAAGGGAAATAATTTATTCTTTCATTCAATGAATACTCCCTGAGCTGCTTCTACCAGCCAGCTGCTGTTCTCAGCACATGGGATATTTCTGTGAACAAATCAGATGAGTGATATGTTGAGGAGCTTACTCTTTAATGTAAATAACTAATCCATACTCTCGTATAATGCATAAGTAAGTTATACTAGTACGGTAGAGGTGCAATGGAAAAAAGAATAAACAGAACTAGTTAAGAGGTCTGGAAAGTGCAGGCCTTAAACAGGCAGTTCCAATCAAGAGTAACCAAAGTTTTAGGGTGGTGGTCAGTGCCCAAGGAGCACTGTGTGAGCACCAAGGAGTTGTCCTGGGCAACCTGGTGAACCTGGGCCTGACGTGAGGGCAGGTGCTTAGCAGGGAGGGCTTTGTGGATACCATGGTGCCTGAATAGAGCCTGGGAGGGTAGGTGGGTGTAGGGTTCCAGGTAGGGCCTAGGTTGGTAGATGAGGGCAGGGTTCCAGG